GTGTTATATTTCTACTCAAAAAAAAAAAAAAAATGGAGAAGGAATTAAAAGTTTCTACTTACCGAGTTGAGTCCCAGGAGGTTGTTTGGGAGAGAGGAGGTGACTCCCGACAGAATAGCTGTGGCCACCACTGCCCCCAGGCACTGGGCAATGATGTACATGAGCGCCTTGAAGATGCTGATCTGGCAGCTCAGCAGGAGGCCCAGGGTCACAGCGGGGTTCAGGTGGGCACCGCTGATGTGGCCCACGCTCTGTGCCATGGTAGCGATGGATAACCCAAAAGCCAGCGAAACCTTCACGTTGTCCTGAGACCTTGTTGATGTCTTGTTGCCCACCACGGGGAAGCTAAAACCTAGAGCTGAGCCAATGCTGATAAAAATAAAAAGGCTCATGGCAAGGAACTCAGCCACCACTGCCCTCCAGAACATTTTCTTTTTGAATTCACTAGCCATCTTTCCTCTCTCTCTTTCTCTCTTCCCTCCTCACCTTCCCTTCTCCTTCTCTCCCTTCCTTTGCCTGATATTTTTCCTTTGAGGTCTGAAGAGAAATCTGGAGAAAAAATACAGTCCTTGGATTATTTATAAGGTTCGGGTGGTCTGTAGGAGGGAAGGGGTGTTGCCTGCCAAAGTTTTTTCTTCCTCTTTTTTTTTTTTTTTTTTTTTCCTCCTCCCTTAACAGCGTTCGATCTCTGCTGCCGTTTTTAAGAGGCTTTTTAAAATCCTTGGAAAAGTACTTACGAGTGCCTCAGGAATTTTACCCTCACTTCTTTAATTCCTATATCATCATTCAGCACACGGGCTGGAGTGGAAGTTTTTATGGGATTTCTGTCTCGAGCTGGACTGAAACAGAAAGCAAAGTTCTCTGTGCAGGCGGGTAAGTTATTCACACTCGGTGGCAGATGACATCTGAAAGTAGTAAATAAAACTGACAACCAAATCCACACTCTAGGGACTTAAGTACCTCTGTTTCGTTTGAAAACAGGTAGAAACGTCTCTTCTGCTGGCTCTGTGGAGACTTGGACTTGTTTCTGATGCCGGTGATGGCTGTACAGACACACGTATTTAGCGGGCTCAACGCAAGCTGGGGTTAGTTGATGAATATTATGGATCAGTTTTAATCCCTGTGACCGCCGTGTAAATCTAATGTAACACTGCATGCAAGCTGGAAGCTTTGGATGCAATTTGGATGCTGAGACGCAGATGATTTGGGGATGTTTGTGTTCGTTTTTGTTTTTTTTTTTTTAATTTTTTTTAAATTCACTTCGTTCCTTCACTTTTTTTTTTTTCTTTCAAGCACAGAAGTGCCTCAGGGTTTCCCCAGGCTTGCTCTGGAAAAAAAGCCAATTTGGGGGCTTCCCAGCCCACGTCCTGCAGTGGAAGCATATCTTCCACCGCTCTCTGAAGGTCGGCTGTCCTGGCTGTCCCTGGGGAGACTGCCCGCTGCCCACTGCCATCGTGCCACGGGACTGGCTGGAGGCAGAGACAGAAAGAAGGGAAATTACACGCTTGGTTTTGCAGACAAAGTATGTCTCCCAGGAGTGCCAGAGTGTCCTTCGGAGCAAAAGGTCTGACAGCCTCTGGTTTTATCACAGCAGAACTTGTACACTTGCCTCAGATTAAGCTCTGTGTTATCAGATCCCTGCCTGCTTTAACAGCTGGTGGTACCTTCATCTTTAGATAGGGGGGTTTGCTCTGACTTCAAACTCTGCAAAATCTTATCCCAAGTCAGAAACTAACTCCCCAGGCACAAACAAGTCTTGAAAGAAGGGTGTTTAAAATCAGCCTACTTCTCTGCCTCCTCTTTTTTTTTCTCCCTCTTCTTACTTTAATCCACTGGTGTCAGCTTCTAAATTGTACTTAAATTAATTCAAGAGCTTTTCCACTTGGACGATATGTCTATTATGAAGATAAAATCAAACACACACCTGGATAGTATTAGCCAGTCAAGAAGGGTTTTTAAAATATATTTGGTTTTCAAAAGATTATTCAGATAAAAAGCTGAAGACTGTTTAAATAAAAATCCAGATGTCTGCAGCCTGGCTTCTGCAAGTTCTTATTCTTTCTAGACATCAGATGTTCTTGATTTTCCATATAACCAATTTATTTCCTTCTGTTTTATAATATACTTACACAACAGAACTGTATCAGTGAAAAAAGGAAAAAGCAAAGAAATGAGAACAAATTAATTATTGGTTTTACCCATCTAATTACAGTGAGACTTTAGTGAAGAACCACGTGATAGACAAATTAAATATCAAATTTAGCCAAACACAGTGTGTGGCAGAATTTTAATATAAGATACAGTTGATGCTAGTAGTATTCTGTTCAGTGAAATTTTTTATGTACTGCAAACAGTCTCTGAGACTTGAAGACCATAAGTGACCAGCTTCTCTGGTCCTACCAAGCAGATGACCAAGGCACAGGGGATACATCCTCCACCTCAGGTAACTAGGGAAAGCAGAGCTCTACGAATAGTTTACAAGTGTTTCCATGTGTCCCAAATCCGCACCTGTGGGATGGAGCTGCCTAGATGTTCAGCTATGTCCACAGGAAATTCCCTCTTTACTCCCTTCTTCCTGCAATTAGGATCTGGGTCACCAAAAAATCTCTGTACCAATACTGATAAGGTGAGAAGGAATCCCTCAAAGGAAAATTTCTAGAAGCCAGGAAAATAGGCTGGGGAAGTATAGCAAAATGCTTCCCTGATTTCGTCTCTCCTAGGTACTCCTGAGTGGTCTATGCCAGAGACAGGGCACCAGGCAAGCAAAACATTTAGTCTGACCAGTAAAATTACCTTGGCATAGGTGAACAACACATGAATTAAGTATGCCTGGGAGAGCAGCAGATTGGTCACCCTCCTTGAGAGTTAGTTAATAAGCTTATATTTTCATCCTGAAACTCTCCATTTGCCTCTTTATAACTACTACCCAACTCTCATTTTATATTTTGGGACTAGAAATCACCAGAAGGGAATAATAATACAATTATCACACAGATAGAAAAAAAAAAAATTAAATTAAAAATTCAGCTGATATCACCAGAAGGGAATAATAATGCAATTATCACGCAGATAGAAAAAAAAAAATTAAATTAAAAATTCAGCTGAAATAAACTAAAACCAAAAACCGTTACATATAAACAGGGAAAATACACATCTAAAAGAAACATGTGGAACTATTAGCCAATCTTACCTGTCTATGGTCTGATGTGAACAAAATCATGAACATCATTGCTGTGTTGTTACTAATTGCTTGCATGGTGATGATACCCGGGGCCCCCATGCCTTCAGTGCTTCTCAGAGAGAGTCAGCAGAAACAGTCATGTCCTGTGTGTAGAAGAACCACCAAGTGGGGAAACAGAAGGAGATGGAGACAGAAGAACAAATATTCTGCACAAGAAATAGAGGGAATCATCAGAGTGGACAAATTAAATCAGTGGTTTAAGTGTAATGAGGAAAGAGGAGAGAGAAGGCATGAGTAGAACAGCAACAAATTAGTTTGACCTCTTCAGAAATGTCCTCTACAATGCAGATCTAACTGGTGTCCAACTCATTATGCCACTTTTCCACAAAATGAGCTCCATCCCACCTTACTGAGGCTGATGGCAAACACCCCAGCAAGTGCTCGGGGGCCTGAACACTCAGTCCTCATAAACCACTGTAAATTAAAAAAGGGCAAAATCCAGCATCCTGCATATCAGATGAGCTGGGTTTTGTGCACACAGCTTCTCTGGGCATGGTTTTAGCTTATGTGCCAAATCACACTCAAAGATGGAGTTTGTTTTTTTCTGGAATTATGTATCTAGAAATAGAGAGAGATGACTGCCAGCATTATGTAAGTGTTTAGGACAGGCAGTGAAGAACATATCTGATGGGAACAAGAGGGAAAAAGCAGCTTTTGAGAAGAGGAGTAATTCTTCACAGATGATTTAAAGCCGTGTACTCTCAACAACTCTCTAATTTAGTTAACACTAGAGACAATTGAGTGAAACATCAGGCTCACATACTCAATATGTAATTGCCAAGATCCCAGGGCCAATTCACTTTTTATCTGAAACAAATCAGGTTTTGAAAGGCTGTAGCACAATCCTCACTTAATGTTTCAGTCGGAAAACGAATGTACTTGTTGGTTAAGTGGTCAGCTTTGTTCTGTGCTCCCACATGTCAAGTTGCTCAGGATGTCTCTACTACTTGAACAAGAAACAAATGTCAGCCACTGCAGATTTGGTCTTGGCTGACATGACTTCTCTGGGAATTTTCCACTTAGGTGAAGGAACAGTCAAAGTTGAAGGGCAGAGGGAATGTATGTCAGTCCAGCTGCCAAATGATTGGAAGAACCAGGGGAACATCAGTAAACTACAACTCTTCTTCTCTCGAGATGAATGAGTTATCCTGTGACCCTGCCAGCCAAGTCTTTTAGCATGCAAGCAGCAATTGCTAGGAAAAATATATTATTCACAGATTCAGGGACAACAGCAATTCCTACTTTATGCCCATGGACTTTCACCCTCTGAGGCATCGCTGAATCTCACCACCATCGAGAAGAGAAAAGCCATGCAGCAGGGAAGAGCTAGAGGATCCGTGTATTCTTGCCTCAGCATCTCAGAAATGGAAAGCAGTCTGGCACTACTGTCTAGCATAAAAATGTTTTTCCATGTATCCTGTTCAGTGCTGTCCATACAGAAAGTTGGAGTTTCCTATAAGAATAATGTCACTGACTTAAACAGACTGACACCAATATCCAAGAGCTGCTTCCTGATCTCAGTTCACTTTCTGGCTAGAAGGAGAACCTGTCCCATTTTGCTAATGTAAAAAGTATGAGGTGGCAGTTGAGGTAATGCAAAGACACTTGGGAATTTCTCTGGAAGAGTGATGCCTGAACACTACTGACACCTGACAGTACTAGTAAGGTGACCAAGAACTGGGAGGGGTTTTAGACTGAATCCCTGACTTAAGGCTCCTAAATCCAGGAAAGATGGAAAATTTCAGACACAACCCCCTCTTTAGCATTTGCTATCAAGCTTGTCTAAGCACCCACTTGCTCCATATGCCAACTGCTGAAAATTCCCTCTTTAACTACTCGGCTGATTTTATTCCCTGTACGATAAACTCAAAGCCTGCAATATCCTCTTACAGAGCTGGACACTTAAACCCCTTTGCGAAGCTGGACCTGAATTCTCAGAAATTCATCCGGGAGGATGAGCAATTATTTATCAACCAGATGAATCACCCACCTGCGGTGCCGGGAGCCACGATGGTGTGTCACCCTGTAACGAGCAAGATTCAAAGGTATAAAGTTCACCTGATTCATTTTCATTGTGTATTTCATGATTCAGTGAAATCAAAGCAGGTTCTAAAGACTGATCAATTTTTTCCTTTTCTTAGGAAAAATAACAATCTGTACATTCCTCCATGTTCACCTAGTTACCATAAATCTCTTTGACATATTTTCTTTTCTTTTTATTTCCACTATATACGTATATATGAGCTTCCTTAGTACACCACTTCCCCGTTTCAGCTCTTAATTTTCCGTTTTCTTTTATTCTTTCCCTCC